GAGAAGCCTGGGCTTTCTTGTTGACTCGGGGTCTTCCAAGCTGGCCAACGACATTCTCATCCAAGCACCCACCCTCAAACGCTCCTGGTTGGGTTTGAGGGGTGTCACCATAGACAAACCTTTGCATGTGAGACTCTCGCAGCCCAAGCTAAAAGGTCCTAAAGTTGACCCCAGAGACACCGAACTATTGAGAAGTGCCTTCATCTCAGCAGTTCGGTTGGATTTAAAGGTTCTTAAGTCCCAACCCTCTTCCGTAGACCCCAGACCCTTAGACGAGACTGTAGTTTGTCTTAAACCAATGGCGGCGAGCTCTGCAAACAACTGTCTCATTGAGCAGTACCGGACTTCAATCGAGGTATCTGGGAATATGAAGAACAAAAGGAGCCGAAAGGCAAAAAGTAAACTAAACCCAGCCCGGTCTGCACACTAGCCCCACCTAACCCTTGCGACAAGATGCGTTTTGAACATAACGCGAAAGCGGTCGGAGGTCAATAAAGGATCAACTCTCCACCTATTGAATGGTCATTCCTGCGGTCTATCCTCACAGCCCGATAAGTGCAACAACGGAGCAATTTTTCAGATGAATGAAGCAACAGGTCGGCTGCCAGAGAGGCTCATAAAGAAAGCCCCTCCGATGGTGAAATACCTTCGCAAGATAGCCACCCGATCAACATACACTCATTTCGTACATCCACCACCACCATTGTCCCTTCCGATCGCTCACCCGGTCCGGTATTGGTCTCTACCAGAGTCAAGAACGTTGATCGATGCACACTTAAATGCATTTCTAGCAACTGTCTTAGCCTCCCAAATAAACTACCGGAATTAAAGCAACTTATCTTGGAGCAACATCTCCATGTAGTCAACCTTACTGAGACCTGGCTCAACCGCAATGTTCCAGACGGGGAAATCCCCATTCCCAGTTATACATTGGGAAGATCAGATTTAGCCCAGGGTAGAGCACGGGATGTACTAGCTTATTTTAGTTGCACTCTCCTTCCTCCCTTTTTTATTCCAGTCGACTCAATACACCCAATAGATACTTTATAGGGTTAAACTCAAACTCCCAAGGTCAGTCATACTCCTACTTGGAGTCATGTACCGTTCCCATCGAAAGCCAACTAGTCATTGACCAATTAAGGTCAATAAGCGACACCCACTTTCTAATTACTCGTGACTTCAATGCCCCGGGTCTTGATTGGCTCGAGGTTCCGCCCACGCCAGGCCNCCCACGCCAGGCCCCGTCATTTCTAGACCTGATTATAACGAATGAAGACAATCAGATCGACGTGGTAAATCACCTTCCATCTCTCGGAAAGAGTGACCACGTAGTCCTGCTGTTTAACCACATTACGGAGTGGAAACCTAAAATGTAGTGTCCACAAATGGTTAAATCCTTCAGGTGTACCAAATTCAGTTCCTTAAGGGAATTTTTTAGGGCACAATTTAACGGCCTTCCCCTGGACCTGTCCGTAGACAATCTTACAGAGCACATCGAACTAATCGTCACTTCAGCTGACGAGCGGTTTGTCCCTCGTGTTCTCGCCTGCTCTAGCTTCAAACCACCTCTTCCTCGTCCCATCCACAAGCTTTTAGATGGGCGGTCTCGACTGTTTGCCAGATACAAGCAAACGGGATTAGAAGCTGATGGACTAGCCTTTAAAAGATTCAGGAATATTTGCCGCTCAAATATTAGGGAATGCAAACTGTGCACTCAAAAAACTACATTTGAACGGGCTCAAAAGAACAGATCGTTCCGCTACAATTATATCCGTCGACTGCGTAGCAAATCTCACCCCTCTCTTGCCCTCAAGTTACCAGACGGGACAGAAGTAACTGCACCTTCACACATTGTAGGCCAATTTCGAAAGCACTACCAGATCACGTTTAGTTCCACTTCCATCACTATTCATCCGATACTACAACGCTTTCCACTAAACTCCACTCTCAGCTTTGTGATATTTTCACAGTTAGACGTAGAGAAAAGCTATGCAACCCAACCCCCTTGTTGCTCTATGAAACCCGAAAAAATAGACCATAGAATTCTTAAAGAATCGGCGGAAATTTCAGCTGGCCCATACACCCCACTCTTCCAAAGGTGTATAGACGAAGGACTATTCCCTTCTCACTGGAAAGCCGCATTTCTTTCCTCTATCTGCAAAAACCGTAGTAGGTTCCTTCCAGCAAGCTACCACCCTATATCTGACTAGTGTACCGAGCAAAATTCCAGAGTGCATTCTCAAACAGGCCATCTTGAAGCACCTATGCGCAAATAATTTACTTTCTACCTTCCAGCATGGATTTCTGCCAGGCAGATCTTGCATCACCAATATGCTGATTGTCATGGATAGTTTAACAAAGGCTTATGATGAAGGCCAAATCTCGTACGCCGTATATATAGATTTTGGCAAAGACTTCGAAAAGGTCCCACACGTCCCACTCATACACAAGCTAGGGGCGTGCGGAATCGTTGATCCTCTTCTATCGCTCATTTGCAGCTTTCTCTCTCACAGCACTTTTACTGTACGGCTAAACGGTACACTATCCGAACCTTGCCCTACTACAACCGGTGTCCCTCGGGGATCTGTTCTCGGTCCTCTTCTCTTCCTTATTTATATTACCGATCTACCTAGTGCATTACCTGAAAACGTAGCTATGTATGCAGATGATGTCACTATCTGGGGCACAGATATATACACGCTACAGTCATATATCGATACTGTTAAGAACTGGTCCGTCGAATGGAATCTGCCCATCGATGATGATACGTGTGTAGGCATGACTTTTGGGAACTCCCCTCCCTTCTCGTTTCATATCAGTGGGACGCAACCTCTTCAGCATACCAACTTGTACAACTTGTCCTGGGCTTCTGGTTAAATATTAACCTCTCTTTTTCACACCATAATCAGTTGGTCAGCAAATCTGCTTTCTGTGTTCTTCACCTTTTTCGAAGGTCTTTCCCCCATATCACCATGAAAGATTTTCCACTTATTTATGGCACCTATGTTCGTCCCCTCGTAGAATATGGTAGTCAAGTTGTTCATTTCGGCCTGATCCGTGATAGTGATGCTCTTGAACGAGTTCAAAGAGAGACAACAAAAGCGGTGCTTGGAATGCAACATCTTCCCTATTCTGAACGTCTAGTGAAGCTTGATCTGTATCCTCTGGAATTCAGACGAATTAGGGGTGACTTATTTCTTCTACACCACCTGTTCTCCCCGAGCCTAGTAGATAAGTTTTTCATTTCAGCTCCCACGGGTGGAACACGGGATAATAGCAAAATGTTAGGCAAATCTGAACCCCGCACCACCCTTCGCACATCTTTCTTCACTTTCAACGCAAATTCAAACTGGAACGCATTGCCAGAAGAGACAGTTTCTTTCACTAGCAAAGCGTCATTCAAGTCTCGACTTAATAGATCTAAATAGATCTACTTGCCTCCTATTAACCTCTCCTCCAAAAAAAACAAAAAAATTACTGTAACTCTTTTTTTTTTATTTATGCCTTTGCCCATTAGCTATCGCACATTGTTACGTTTATTAGTGATGTTGCTAGAATAACTAGCATCACTAGTCCCCGTGCAAGACGATATATTGCCCCTCCAGTTTTTTTCTGATTTTCCAGTTGCATCCTTCACGAACAGACAACAAGAAACCATCAAGGATCCGGGACCATTGGGTGCCAGCCTCGAACCCGAGAGTCACTTCAAAACTTCAAGACTACATCAGAATACCGTCAAGCCGGTATTCAAACAGTTGACCAATCGATAAACCAATCAATCGATCAATCAATCAATCTGGTTACAGGCATGTATGACAAACGTATCAGTCATTTGTAGGCCCCAACACTGTGCAAATAAGGAAACTTGTTCTTTTGGCCCTTTACTTTCTCCGTGACCTCCTAGTCCGGGTTGGATCTGCAGTTGTGAAGTTATCCTGTGTAGCTCTTTAGGTCATGGAAGCGTGCAATTGAAAGGTAGGACGAAAATTGCGAAAGCCGTATAATCAAGAGTAAACAAAAATCTTTTAAGATGCCAAACAGCCTACTATTTAAAAAAGAAGCGGGAATTTGAGAAAAATGATTTTCGCGCGGTTTGCGATGCTTAAAATGAAATAATATATGGCATATAAAATGACATGCATCAACATCGTCTTTGTGGATACGAGAAGAATAAATTACACAATCAATAAAAAATAGTAGAATTGTGTGTGTATGTGTGAGACAGAGAGTTTCACCCGCCTCGTGGTGGTAGACTCCAATCGGTTTTCTATCAACTTCGAACACGGCTAATTGAATCGCAAGATTCAAGAACCGGAAATTCGACACATGCGCAAGTGAGGCCCTTCATTCAGTATTGATCAAAACAACTTTATCGAATCTGCAAATACTGTTCTCAAATTAGGAGGTTTACGGGTACATTTTAATCCCGAAATATTTGGAGTTTACCCTTATTAATTGCATAGCAACAAGAAAAATGCTAATTACTTTCTATTTCACGCAGAAAAACTAAATTGGCCGGTGGGAACCTAAAGAGCTTGCCAGGAAAATCCTTAATGATTTTTTTGTGCCACATGTGTTGCGTTCTTCATGAGAAAACAATCATCACACCAGACGTAGTTTGGAAATAAAGTACAGAGTTTGTTCAACAACACCGGCTATTTTGTACTTTGTCAACCATTATCGAAGGGAAATCTCATTTGAAAGCATCATTTACCAGAATGAAAATCCAGGCCGAATTCATGTCATGATGCTTTGTAAAAGTTGTTCGCTGGAATGTGCTTTTCGTCAAAAAAATCGTTGTGTGCAGCGTGCTCCTCAGGGCAAAATGTTTCACACCAATTCCATTTTTCGCCGTTTTACAATAAATCACTTGAAACGGATAATCATTCTAATAAATTCGAATTATTCTGGATCAAGCTCTTCTGAGTGATCAAAAGTAGTTGTGGGTTACAGTAAACAAGAATCACCCTTCCACTCAGTTAATTTCACACTCGACAGAGTCATCTGTGGTGCAGAAGGACACCAATTCCCACAGTGAGCATGGCCAACACAACTGGCACACCGAGTCCGATAACGACCGGAGAACGACCAGAGGGATTAACTCGTCGCTGAAATTCTTCACGGTCATTCGCATATGGAAACGATTCGGTCGGAATGTCCAACTGTAAAAATTTGCACAACGGTTCCCATCCGTCTTGCACGTGGAACACTAGCAAACGTTCTTGCTGGACTTTGGACTGGACGTCCGAATTCCATTGATCAAATGCTCGACCGAGTTGTTCATCGTCCATTTGGAACACATTCCCACCGAAGGTGTGTTCAAATGAACGCTGTGCCACTATGTCTGTGGCATGAGGGGTAACAAAAGAGGGAAACCATCGTACATACCATGGGGGATCATAATTGTCATGGGCGAAAATAGTGGAACGGGCACTCTGAATCCAACTTCGTGTGTCGCGTACTGTCAAGATTACCTGAGAAAAAGACATCGGGGGAATTGCTTTAGTGCTTTAGAAAATTTCAGGACGCGAAATATACTCAATATATGTGACCAGTAAGCCGGTTGAATGTGAACATTTATTGAATTCGTTTTGTTTACCACTGTGCATCATTTATTCTCGTGGTTATGTCATCTATCGGACTAGAAAGTGATTACAATGTTTGTTGTGTTCAATGGAACTCGCAATATGCATTGAAGTAACTCCTTCAAGTGGGCACAAACTGAAATCTCCGTAATTCAATTACAACAACAAAAACATGTGATCAACCAGTACCGGCCGTACAAGTTATCAGCTGTCAGCCAATCAATAACGAACAGACTGTGCTGAATTCTGATTGGACAATTTAAGGTCCCATTTGAGGAACGCCTGTGTGTGTATGCGCTTTGTGTGTGTGTGTGTGTGTGTGTGCATAAAACAATGATGTTATCCGTCCAATGGAAAGAATGTATTCAAGAGTTATCGAACACATACGTTAAGCCATACAACAATGTAAGTTTAAGGATTGCACGGTTACTTTCGTTTTGTATTGTAGGTCAAGCGAGGAGTGAAATGAAAAAGTTGCAGGCACTGCACAAATGTTTCGATCTCATTGGGTCCGATCCGAAAAAGAAAACGGTCCAATCAGCTTTACGATGGCCAAGTGATCGGTATGCTTGAGTTACACTTGTGAGGCCCTGGGTTGATGGATTTGCAATGCTCATATCAGCAGTGGTCTGAAATTGGGCCCAGCAAGTTTAAACCGGTTTAACAGTGATTCCTAAACTTGCAGTTAACGCTTTTGCACTATTTAAGAGCATAGATTTATTACTTCATTGTTATTTGAGGATTTATAAAGTCAAACATTGGTACCGTCTAGATAAAGAATTCAATCTTTCCTGTAACGAAATGAAACCTATTATACGGAGCGCCGTCACTTTCCCCCATTGTAGTATCACAGTTCATTGTAAGGTGTCGTTCTAAACTCACTTAAAACTCTCCCATTTACCGATTGGCAGCATTTGACTGGTTCAAGTTGCATTCTTAAACACTAGCCGTATCATCATTGTCTTACGTGAAGCAATTTCCTTGAACCCGACCGTATGCGGATTTCTAAACACTGAATAAGAGATATATTCACTTGTGTGAATAGAAATGCTCTTGTTGAATGATGGTACGCTCTTTGCTAATAATATATATGAATGCATTTATGATAATTATGTTAAAGGGAACGCACGGGGATATGATGATTGTAAATGAACTTAATAGCTTGTTAAAGGATATGAACCGGTAGACGTTACTCACAATGATCTCAAGGTTGGAAACACAGTTTCGAGGTTATTGGCTAATGCGTGAAATACATTTCGAGCTCCGTACGTGCCCTGTTTACGCTGTACGAGCCCATCCACTAATTCGGTCATTCGCCAAGAATATCGTGAGTTCTAATTGTTTCTTGAGGCAAACTGCTATTCTCGGTTCTCGAAGAAACACTGAGAGTTACGTCAGAATGGATTCAAACTCTCTGCGATTCCGGAATACCCAGTGGACTCCAACAACTCCATCAACAAACAAACCACATCCGGTATATAATTAAATTCCAGAGAATGCCTGGCCCGTGTTGACGTAACAAGCTCACCGATCTATCCGGTCACAATGCTGACTGGAAGCCTATCCGAAAGCGTTTGAGGATTGCTAAATGAGTGTATGCACCCAAAATCTAAGGTATCATATTCAAAGTTGGAACGGATGCCTTTGAAGAAAATGTGCGTTGCGTTCATAGTATAAGATCCGTGTATAGGAATGTTTGAATTAGCCACAATGAGAGAAAACCAAAGACAACAATCTTCGGTTAACCACGTTTCAACTCCCTTGGAAGGCCTTTTTTAATTCATTCAACAAGCGAACATTAAACAAAGATCGTGAGAAACCGTATCCATTGGAGGTGCTTATGATTGGTCTAGGGGTAGGAACCATTGAGTTGGTGTCTGTGTTTGTGTGTGGGGTAATAGGTGAGATCATGGAAGTTTTGAATGAAGGAAGAGGTCAAAGAGATAATGCTGACGTCATAGAAGATGGAAGATAAGTCTTTGAGCGGTTTTGTGGTGCGGCTAGATTAGATCTTGTTTGTTAGTGTGTGTTAGTGTGTGTGTGTGTGCGTGAGCGGTTGGTTGTGCAACTGGTATTAAGCCAGTGAATTGATAATTGGGTCCCGTCCGATCCATTGATGCAAAGTGGATCGCTGTTGATGAACAGTGGTAACTCCGTAATTAAACGTTCTCTATTTGACCTGAAGCCTTGTTTCAGAATAATTGGTTCTTCGAAGTCAATAGAGTGTCCCTCAGAGATGCAATGTAGAGCAACAGCTGGGTCTCTCTCAAGGGTCCTAAGCTCAGATGAATTTCTTGGAGGGTGTTTGGATTTCCTGTCACGTTCGGATACCCGTGTGTTTAGTTGTCGACTTGTTTAGCCAATGTACGTGGCTGTAAACTGTTTACATCTTATCTTGTAAATAAGATTTGATTGATCAGCTTTTGGTCGTCTGTTCTTAGGTCAGAAGTGAACGAAGAGTGTTAGTTGCCCGAAAAGCGACCAGTATATTGAACCGCTTCAATATACGTTGGATATCTTCTGACGTATTGCGGCGATAAGGTATGACACTAGTTGCTATCCAATAGGCCTTTTTGATTTCTGGTTGTATAGATCTTCTAATGCTTTTTTAAATTCTTTGTAGGAAATTTGGTGGATATCCATTATCCATCAATTCTCTTGTGACTAGTTGAACCTCTTTACGTTTGTCCTTTTTGTTTGAGACGAACTGGTTAGTTCTGGTTTGGAGGCTGGTCACCACAGTCGCCTTCATATTTAGGGGTGTTCAGAGGAGTAGGACAAATACCTGCTAGTGTGGGTTGGCTTTCTGTACACAGATATCGCTAGGTTACCCAAATCGTTGAAAGTTACTTGATAGTCTAAGAAGTTAATGCTGTTTTCTTTCTTTTCTAATGTAAACTTAATGTTTCCGTGAAAAGGGTTGATGAACTGTGTGAAAGATACCTGTAATGATTGTAGTAGTCGTAGTTACATGCATGGAATTCGGAACACCAACCAGGCAATATGAATCACAGGACCCCAATCAATAATCAGCTATCACGGACAGGATCTCAGAAGCACTGGACCACGAGACGCGAGGAAAAGGCCACAACACTGATAGTAAGTAGTACTTCGTTTATTGGAACAAATAAAGGTGATTAAATAATATGTAGAAAAGAAGACTATTGGTTGTCTAAGCTTCCACCAATCGGATTGCAGTACTGCTTGCATAATTCTGTTTCTGTCTGCACTGTCTTGGATTGGCTGGCACGATCCACCGATGACGTGTATTCAGAAGCCATGCACGTGTCATTGACGTCAGCATTCAAACTTGATTGATCGCGGATGTCCCGAAATGGAAACGCGCCGTTCCAGGGTAGGCGCCATCGTGTAGGCATGGATCACCACAGTTCCACAAAATCTTCCTTGATCACGACGAAAGTATCATCTACATAATTCCACCAGATTCTTGGTGGTGTTGGGACAGATCTAAGTATTTCTTCTTCAAGGTTTTCCATAAAAATGTTTGCTACAATTGGTGAGATTGGAGAACTCATTGCCACTCCATCAGTTTGTTTGTATAGAGTTCCGTCATATGTGAAAAGGGTGGATTTCATGCATGTGGAAATCGCCATGATGCTATCTTCCACTTCAAGTGTGGTTCTGTCGCACAAAGAATTATCATTAGAGAGTAGTATTTTAAGGAGTGCTAGAGATTATTCAATGGGAACATGGGTAAAAAGAGAAATAACATCGTAACTTACAAGACATTCAGACTGATCAAGTTTAATATGTCCAAATTTTTGGATAAAGTAATTCGAGTTTTTAATGTAATGTTCATCACATTTTTGGAGTGAATGTAGAATGTTTATATGATGTTTGAAAGGGCATAGTTCGAAGTGTTTGTGTAATCAATTATTGGTTGTAAGGGAACACCTACTTTGAGAATTTTGGGTAAGCCATAAAATCTCGAAGTACAGTTTACTTTCGGATTCAACTGAAACCATATTGACTTACCCAGTTTCAGTTTCAAATCTCGAAGTAACTTCGTAGTCGTGGCTTAGATCATATTCTTGAGGGCCTGAGCTCGCTTTTGAGGAATTTCACAGTAAGGTCCCTTTGTTAGGTGATCACACACCTTTTTATCATAATCCGCTTTGTTCATGATGACCAACTGGTTGCCTTTATCAGCTTTCGTAATCACCATACTTTTTTCCTTGCGGAGAGATCTAACTGTTAAACGTTCCTCTTTCGTTAAATTGCAAGTCTGTTTCACTTGATTCCGCAGGATACGAGCGACCTTCGTTGGCCTCTTCCTCTGGTATTTTGTGTAAATGTTCTTCGAGCGCAGGGATTATGTCGATATGCTCCAAATACGAAATACTTACATTATAACTAAGTCCTGAGAGGAGATTTTCCTGTACGGTCAGGACTCTATCGGATCAATTCAAAGGTGGAACTACACAGGTGAAATTAGGTTTCTTTGTTGATGTTAGTATATCCCGTTTGGCGAGTAGATCTTCAAATTTTCGTTTTTGGCGTTCTTTTGTAGCGAAGAACTCTCGATAGAAATGATGATTCAGTATATTTTCCATTATTTCTTAGTTTTCATAATTCAGAATAACTTTCAGTTTTTCATCAATCGTCGAACACAAGCTTCGAATATATTCCAGTTTAGGTCTATAAAAATGAACCCGTTGACGTAAAAATGCTCGTTCAGCAACATTTGCAGCCTTTTTGGATCNGGGGGGGGGGGGGGGTTGACGTGAAGACTGTTGGGAATAATATTTGAATGTAAACAACGCATGTTGAAAATACAATGATTCCTCCAGTTTGTCTCACAATTCACAAGATGTATCCGCGTGTTGATAATTTTCAAGGTATCACATCCAAAGTTGAAACGGATGTCTTTGAAGAAATTGTGCGTTGTGCTCATAGCATTAGATCCGTATAGGAATGTTTGAATTAGCCACAATGAGAGAAAACCAAAAACAACAATAATTTTCGGTTGATGACTTTTCGACCCTCTTGGAAGGCCTTTCTCAAGTCAAACACACACACACACACCAACTCAATCGTTCCTACCCCTAGACCAATCACAAGCACCTCCAATGGATACGATTTCTCTCACGATTGTTGTTTAATGTTCGCTTGTTAATTGCCTTGAAAAGGGCCTTCCACGAGGGTCGAAACGTCGTCAACCGAAAATCATTGTTGTTTTGGTTTTCTCTCATTGTGGCTAATCCAAACATTCCTATATGGATCTAGCACACAAACTCCGCCCAGGATAAAGAAACATCACCACAATGATCACAGTTCACTTTCTGCAATGGCCGAGCTGTAGCGGTTCTTCAACCGACAGTTTCTTGTTTTTTCTCTAAGTTTCTTAATAGATCCATTCAAGCTGGACGTGATCATCAAATCACGTACCAGAAGTACTTTCACCCTACGGTGGTGACTAACAACAGGATACATTCAGTTTCTAACCAGTCCTGTATAATTGAGGACTATCAAGGCATGGTACATAACCATGAAGTACCTATCAGAACCATTAAGGTTCAGAAATCAAGTAGCGACTGAGTTTATCGATCAGGTAGTTAAACTACCGTCAGGTTTTTCCCTTCTTCCTTTAAGGACCCTTATCCACCGGACACAATCAAGTGTACCGTCGAGATTTAGCAGTAATCGCCATTAGGTGGCGATAGCTATACTCTGAGGAAAGTTCCTCTATTGGACAAAGCAACTTGGACATTTCCAGGATTAAGTTTTACTTTAACTTTTAGCGTTCTTTTAATAAACTCGAAAAGCGTGCACCGACACAATTCCTCACGGTGAACTCTGTATCGCACTCTTTCGTTGCATTGATCAGATCTACTTTCAGGTTTCCGCTGCCTTTGCTTAAATATCAGCCTAGGCCTAGCCAAATCTACTTCCAACCTTTCTGAAGATCTCAGAATATATCATTTTCAATAAACACAATCTCTGGTTCTGTTTCCATTTGGGACGAATATTCAAAACGGACGTGAGTAAACATTAGTGACAGGTTCTGACGAATATCAGTAACCATCGAGTCACTAAAAAAACAGTCGTATGTGCGCGAGCACACACACACATACTGGCCACGGCTGACTAAGAAAACCCTCGCACACCACCTGACGAAGTGAATGTGGACAGGCCTAATCAGTGCGTTAAGTGAGCTCGATCAATACAGTTGTCCGACTATTGTGTTCTTGTGACTTCTACCCACGTAGCAAGGAATATAGCACTACACATGACCACAAAACCAATGTGGCTGTCCACAGGTTAAGCCTGTCGCCACCAGACTGCAATGACAACCCATCTTGTTTGGAAACAACTCACCTTTGCATCCGGATAAGCTTGCATGATGTACGAATAATAAGCCGCTGCCGGAAAATCCACCGCTGCACCGTACCCATGCAGAAGTTGTCGAATCAATTGTATGTCTACCGGCGAACCACCCGGACGCTTCGATTCGGTTATTTGCCTGTCCAGTTCGATCCATTTCTCTGGATGATCTGGATGATGATCGATCATTTGAAACATGTGATAACACGGACGCTTCAGGAGTATTTCCAGTGCTCGTTTTAAACTAGCCGTTCCGGTTCGACCGCATCCGGCCCCGATGACGAGGAGAGGTTTGTCTTGATTGGAATCGGACATCCTCAGCAATGTAGTAGCGAGAATTAGGTATTTGTACGGGAACAGGCGATACAATTATTCCAGTCCTGGAGCAACCAGTTTGTATTTGAATGAGAATAAATATCCTATGTGTGCAATAACGCCAACGGATGCAGAATCCTTAATCCGGTTCAACTAATCCACGCTCATCGACATCCGATTACGAACTGATTGTCAGATTAGTAAACAATTAGACGAGTTTATATACTTGGTTCATCAACTGAAATGAACCTACAGACATCTGAACAGTCAAATTATCAACGAATTTATCAAACGTTCAATATAATTTGATTGTTTCTGGCATTCACACACAGAGCATCCTCCTCGGAGTCGTTCCAAATCGGTCTGTGTCTGGTTATTTTATGGCAATCATGCTGGCCAGTGAAGGGACTATTGTCATGACATGAATGGTCAAATTCTAACGCACACCTGTCGTTTAGATTATCGCTGTTTTCCTGTCACAGATTTGAATAGAGAATTCAGAAACAGTGTATCCAGGGTCAATCATTTCACTGCATCTGTACCCGTGCATACTAAAGTCAAAGTGCTTGTCTGTGAGGTACTGGGCGTTAGACGATGACGCAGCTGAACCGTTCATAGTCATCACTACCACCCGGATACCAACTACGTTAGTGAAAGAACCACTGACCTCCTCTGTCAAATCAAACAGCATTTACCAATTCAATTTGGGATGCTTGTTCATCTGCAAAGGCAGAACAGAAAGACCGTTGCGTCACTGAATGGTCGAACGTATCCCTGGGTGTCTTAAGAAAGTGATAGACGAAACCTCATGGAATGAGCAGAAAAGTCGTAGATCTTCGATAGCACAATACATATCCAAACAAAAACATTGTGTAACTCCACCCCACGCATTTCAGGTCATCTACAACACAGCAAACTGTGGTGATCCAGGCCTACACGATGACGCCTACCCTGGAACGGCGCGTTTCCATTTCGGGACATCCGCGATCAATCAAGTTTGAATGCTGACGTCAATGACACGTGCATGGCTTCTGAATACACGTCATCGGTGGATCGTGCCAGCCAATCCAAGACAGTGCAGACAGAAACAGAATTATGCAAGCAGTACTGCAATCCGATTGGTGGAAGCTTAGACAACCAATAGTCTTCTTTTCTACATATTATTTAATCACCTTTATTTGTTCCAATAAACGAAGTACTACTTACTATCAGTGTTGTGGCCTTTTCCTCGCGTCTCGTGGTCCAGTGCTTCTGAGATCCTGTCCGTGATAGCTGATTATTGATTGGGGTCCTGTGATTCTTATTGCCTGGTTGACTTTCCGATTTTCGTGCCCTAGCTCTTCATACTCTCAAACCCGATCTATGCAGACAACGTGGTTGGTCAATCAAATTGGCTTTTCCTTGGTGATTAACTCGTACCCTCTCTCATTTCATGCGTTATTGTGTCGGATTGTCCGTTGTGATTAGCGATCTTGTCTTCCTGTCATACTTATTATCTCACTGACGATAAAAATCACTTTGAATGCAGCATGCACGTGCACAGTTACAGCGAAGTGACACGTGGATACATTGTGCAAACCCAGGTTTCCTGACTTCTCTATTCAAATTTCTACCATTAACTTTATTTTGGTGCATTCTGTCCATTTCACTCTACCTTTGTTCTTTGCCATTCCCCGGTCCTTAAATGAATGTAATCCTAGCCTAAGGGATGACGCAAACAACAGGATGACAAGTTACCGTTTCCGGACAACTGTGATGAGTCAAGCTTCCCAGATGATGCCAGGAAAGTTCCTACGCGTTACGGCTTCTGGACAGTGAACCATAGGCCGATTGTGTTGACCAATCAGAAACCGTATGGGCCAGGTAGAAGAGGTAGGACGCCAAGTATACGAGAACGCGATTGGCAGATGTCTAGATAATCTTTTTACATGTTATTTAACCTACTTGGTTTTTCCACGATTTACTACTGCTACTCTCTTTTTTGCGTCTCGGTTACCTGGGCTACCATCGTGCACGTGCCCGTGTGATACAGTGCTTCCGTGGTATCTGTGATTCCTAATCAGTGATTCTTAATTCGTGGTCTGCCCGTACTTCAACCATTACAATGAAGCAATTAAGGTTTTGTTTCAAGGCCTGTCAATCATCAGCCCCAGTCCTTTGGTTAGCAATTTGATAGAGAAACTCACAGCTGTACACCTATAACATCCTGTTTAAATTTGGTTCATGGAACTTACCATGTCCATTCCAATTCTCTACCCTTCTAGCAATTCTACAAGTCTGTGCCTTCAAACTTATATACTTTGCATTGTGCTCAACCCGGATACGTATTTTAGTGAGACAGGAACAAAGGGATAGAGAGTAAGTGAAAGATAGCACACGTGAGGTTTCGCCAATGAAATCATTTTGACGCTTGCTGCGTGGTTGGTATACCTATATATTTCGTTCGTTGTATCACCAAGTAAATGGTCGGTGTCGTGCTATTTGTATTGATCAATGTGCACGTTTCGACTGAAACATNTTTTAATATTATGACCTAGGATATGTGGTAGTATGCATTCACTTTTGTCAGATAATTTCGTCCTCTTTCCTTGTTTTGTTTCTTTGTGTTCCTCGAAATCATTTAGCTACCACGATTGTTAACTCATGGCAATCAAAAAGGCCTCAAAACATAACCAAACGGACGGGCATGCTACGAAATTTTCTCATGTTCGACAAGTCATTTGAAGAACTAGGTGGTTTTGCAAACCAGCGTTGCATACACACACGCCACTTTATAATCACTATCATGTATGTTTCTAAAAAGGTTTAATAAATCTATCATGTGATCACTCCATTCGGGAATTTTCTCACCGGAATAGACAAGATTTTGTTGATTTGTATAAGAACAAAGCAGACCGGGCATCACAACAAAATTCTACCAGCATAGAATGTACCCGCAAAAATACGACGGCACTTTGAGTACGAATCACAGTTCACGCTTTTATTTTGATGGTTTACACAGACACACATGTGTGTGTTTGGGGTATCTGATAGGAGTAGTGATTATGAACGGTAGACTGTCATGTACCCTTGGGGCATCCTCCACCGCCTCGGTCTCAGTCATGCAGTTAATTCTCATTTTTGGTCCCACGAATCTGAGCCATACATCCGCGGCTACATCCAGGTTAATGGCTTAACAGGCGAGCTAAACCAGATTTAGAGCAAGCCGAGGTCTGGAGGTCTTGGTGAGACGGTGAATAACATGCTGAGCTAGCTACTGCTGAATGTGCGAACCAGATCTGCTACGTGATCCAATGGCTATGAAGAAAACCCGTCCTGAAAATTGGATCTTTGTATATTCGATAAAAGGAAGTAAAAAAGAGAAAAGAAAAGAAAAAAAAGGATGTATTGGTTGTAGCTACATTTGCCAAACGAGGGGCTCATACGGAGTCACCGGCAATCATATACCAAATATCGTGCTACCATGCAACTCCAACATAGCTGTGCGAAGGCCAAAAGCGCGCCATCAAAGAGAAAACCAAGTGATTCTGGGACCGTCTCTAGTGCCAAATGCCTATGATATTCCACGGTTACCATGGTGCCGGCATATCCTATCGAAGGAGCGTGCCCCAATAAAGAAAAGATGAACATTTGTGTATCAGTGCTTGGACAAATGAAATAATGTGACTTAAAGATCCAAAAAGGAAATTGATGGCTCAAACGATCGCCAAATACAACCGGAATGTTTATCGGTCCAACAGCTATCTCCCAAAATCAATACCTGTTTAACCCATTAAAGTGTTTGCTTTTGGTTGCCGGAAAACATTCGATGACACATTCGTTCTCTGATCAAAAAACAGCTCATGGATATCGCTCTTTTCCACGAATTCATTTGTATCTGATCTGCTGAGCCACACTGAATAAGTTTCTGTCGTATGTGGACCACAATCATCAAATACACTTTCCCTAATAGCATCCAACAAGGCGTTTCAAAGGTTGTTTGTCCGACAATGCGCGTTTGCGTGGAGTTCTTATGATATTCATTCTTTCAAAGTAGATGAGACAAAACGCACAATTAAACCGATTTGATGCGGAAAACAATAAAGATGAAGCGGAAGGTCTTAATCATTTTGTTTGAGGTTAGGCTAATATTTAGCCCCGTTTAAGTAACCAAGCAAGCAGTCAATTATGCTGTACGTTTATTGTTGAGGGTATATATGTAGCCGGCCCAGGGGCCGGTGGGAAAGCAGAAGCGGGCAACACGTAAGAAGGCAGGCAGGCAGGCAGACCAACAAGTGGCTCATGCGTCACATGACATCCGAAAGCTGTCATGCCGACGTTCAATTAGCGTGGGACCAGTCCAATACTAACATCTAACTAACATCTGATTGGCTGGAGCCGACCAATACTGTAGTGGAGTCAGTCCGCAGGGTGTGAGTGCGTGCGTGCGTGTGCGATAGCTGACAGCATCTGTCAATCAATCGATCAATCAATCAATCCGATCACTGGCAAGCACGAGGAACGAGAGAGTCACTTCTAGGCCACAGCAACTACTGCAACCCACTTATTTGCCCACCAGTGATCAGTGTTTTGCATAGGTTTCAGTGCATTTTTCTTGCAAAAGTTTTGAAGCCAAAAACACGGGTAATGTTCACCAGAGTAATCCGTGAACGGTTCACTTCTCCGTTCATAATCACCTCACATGATCGCAACATATGCAGTGCTGAAGAACATTCTGGAAGGTGTGTAACCAAATGACTGATTTATTTTGCATCCCCGATATGTATGGGGTTAAATTTTTACATGTTCAAATGCGTGGATCAACTTAACTCTCCATTCCATTCTACAATGTTGCCCAAGGTTTTCCCGTTTTACTCTCACAAATTTCATCAACTTTGAAATAGCACCTTACTGTATACAATCCGATTGTATTTCATTCTTTAACTCGTTTGTATCTTTTATTGTCCGTTTTTTATATATTAGCTTACAAAATCTTTGGCGATTTCACTCATATACCCACC